AAGATCTTCGCTTCCGCCACAAAACTAGCGCAGCTCAACCTGTTTGTGTCTCATAATCCCTGCTTTTTCTTCCCCTGTTGCCACAGCAACTCATGCAGGGCAAACACCGGCCCCCCTCCGGATTCCCATGCTGCTGAGCTCAGCAGATCAGAGCAGGTAGAAGGCTCTGGCGCACCGCCAGAGCCAAACTCGTACCGGTGGGTGTGGTGTGTAAGGGGATCAAGTAATTCCCCAGTCCAACCAATTCTCCCTCCACCCCTCTCTGCAATTGATTCCCCTAGGGAGACTGTTTCCTCAACAGGTGAATCCCCTCCCTCCCCTCGGTCACACCCCTGGCTCCGCAGTTTCCAGTGCTGGCTCGGCCAGTGCTGCAAGAACCCAGCTGAGCGTGTGTGGAAACACAGGTGCCAACTTTTTTCTGCGCCGGTGGGTGCTTGCCTCCCCGGCCCCGCCCTGACTCCACCCCTGCCCCAGAGTCCCTGCCCTAACTCCGCCCCTCCCCAGATCCCCGCCACGGCCCCGCCTCCTCCCGCAAGCGCGCCGCATTCCTCCCGCCCACCCCCTTCCCAGGCTTGCCGCGCGAAACAGTTGTTTTGTGGCACAAGCGCTGGGAGGGAGGGGGGAGAAGCAGGACCCGGCGGCGAGTTGGGGCGGGGGAGCTGCTGGTGGGTGCAAAGCACCCACCAATTTTTCCCTGTGGCTGCTCCAGCCCCGTAGCACCCATGGAGTCCGTGCCTATGTGTGGAAAGAGATCCCGCTTGCCCTTCGGGTTCTGGTTTGCCGGCACGGATTCCGTACGGATCCTCCCCAGCAGGGAGAGTCGCCCGCCCTACCTTCGGTCTGACCCCGTGACACCTAGGCGAGGGATTACATCACAGTCTGTCTCCACAGGCCTGACCCTGCCATGTGCTGAACAACCCGGTCAGCGGGAGAGGCGGGCCCTGAAAGCTAGTGGAAAGCAGCAACGATGATGCAAATCCATCAACCCAGCGGTCCCAGCCCTGAGACCACAGTCAGTCATCCCGACCAAGACTGTCTCATTGTTTCCTCGTGCTCCCCAGTCTGTCTCTGGCCTTAGATTGCAAGCTCCTTGGGGTAGGCACTGTCTTTTGGCTCTGTCTGCACAGCACCGAGGAGGTCTGTGACGAGGGCTCCTAGGGGTTACAGTAACACAGGACCCGTTCTCCGCTCGGGGGCTGAATGCGGGCGGTGCAATGCCTGTGCAGGGTTTGTGGCTCACTCGAAGTGCTTTGAGGATCGATAGGATGGAAGAAGGTTCATTGCTACTCGGCCTCCCGCAGACACAGAGACCTACGAGCAAGGCTGGGACAAGCTCCCTTAGGACGGAGCCAGCGCTGCGAGGCTGCGGGCTGTTGGTAAAGCCGCTCGAGCAGAAGACTTGCAGAGCATTTGGAGCAGCTCCACCGCAGCATTATTAACCGGACGAGCCAAGGGAAGGAGGCCGGCCAGCCCTGCAGGAATGCAAGCTTAGGAACGGCCAGATTGGGGCAGACCAAAGGTCCATCTAGCCCGGTATCCTGTCTCCCGCCAGTGGCCAGTGCCAGGTGCCCCAGAGGGAATGAACAGAACAGGGAATCATCAAGTGATCCATCCCCTGTCGCCCATTCCCAACTTCCGACAAACAGAGGCTAGGGACACCATCCCTGCCCATCCTGGCTAAAAACCATTGATGCACCTATCCTCCATGAACTTATCTAGTTCTTTAGCTTCAAAACCTCTGCTGCTGCTACACTTAAATGTTTACCACAGAAGGATGCTGGTGTCCAAAAGATCAAAATGCTGGAGCGCTCAGGCAGGTCAGGGTGGGGGCCAAAGGGACACAGGTTGGACGAGCGGCTGTAACCTCCCGCTTCTGGAAGAGCAACATTGGCTTCCGAAAGAGAAAGGTATCACTGGAGATGGATACTTTACCTTCCGGGAACCTCTTTATGTGCTAACAAGCAAAGAGAGTTTTACAGGCATCCCCTGGGTCAAGCATATGGCCAGCAATTCACCCAAGGGTGGCATGCGAGGTATCTACCAAGAGCAGTTAGCCATTGCAAAGTGTGTGCACAAATATTCTAAAAGTTACGTTCTTAGAGCCTTGATGTTAAAGGCTGGTCAGCAGGTAGTGAAATGCCTCTGGTTCTGTTCAGGCAGGGGATAGTAGACGCTTCTCTCTCTGGCTAGTCATTGTCTCTCTCACAATGCAAGTCTATTTTCATATTAAGCCACCAGCTAATCGAAATTGCTAAATCCACAAGAGACAGCAGAATCTAGAGGAAGGAACACAGCAGAACGGTGCCTGGTTTATGAAGGAAGATCAAAGGACTGGTTTGATGTATCTGGGGTTACAAAGAGACCCACAGAATCCTTCCCTGAAGAGACAAGCTGACAGCATCGCTTGTGTCGTGGAACAGGGATCACAGCCTGCCTGGCTGGAAAACACTAGCGAGCAATACTTCATTAGACAGGAGAGTACCTTGTTAAGTACGTCTAGGCTCTAGAATGCATGTTACGGTTTTAGTTTCTATGTAAACATTTGTTTCCAATCCTTCTACTTGCGATCATTTGAATCTCTAGACTTTCTTAAATAAACTTTTACTTGTTATCACTATAAACCTATCTACATGCTATGAGTTCTCACGCTCAGGGCAGGTGGTAGCAAGGTGTCTCCCAATGCTGGGTACCTCCTGGAAGCGTTACATTTAATACCATTAACATACCTTCATTCATCTAGGCCTAGTCTGCAAGGTGCCGAGCACTGTCTATTCCCATCAACTTAATGAATGATCCCAGAAATCGCCTCCGGTTTTAAAACAGTCCTACTTCCAAGCACCATCCAAGGGAGGGCTGCTCCTGGGAAGATCACAATCAGCATACAAACTGCTGGAGAGAAAAACTGAGGGCTGGGTCCCTGAGTGGCGCTGGACTTCGAGCTACCATGTCATATCAAAGCAATGCAAGGTAGCTCCTGAAAGTGTCCAGCATGCCGTCTTTTGAGTAAGGACTTTTTGGAAGTAGTGAACTTTGGCCTACGGTTCTCATCTGACCCCCATATCTGAGCCCCTCTCAATCTCTAACATTTATGCTCAACGCCCTGCTAGGAAGGAATCTGCAAAGATCCCCCTTTTACAGGTGTGACACCAAGGCACAGAGATGACACAGGACGGCTGTGGTGGAGCAGGAATTGAATTCAGGTCTCTCACAGCCCAGGTAATGCTCTCACCACAAGACTCTCTGTCCTCCAAGCTGGAGCTGGCTTCCTTTGAGGCGGGACCTTAACATCTGTTGAGCTCCCTCGTCCTTGCTTTGACTCGGACCTCACACGCCCTGCAATTTGCTGCTGAAGGGAAGGCACACACATAGCATAAAAACCAGTTCGGCCGTCTGTAACGAATATACGCAGAGGGCTGTTTAAACATAGCCAAGAAGAGCGTTAAATGACAGGCTTGTCTTTACCAGCAACTTCCCTCATTGCTGGAACTCGGCACTTTTTAACCTGCATATCTAAAGTGCTTTAAATAGGTGAGTCGATCTACCTCCCCTGTTTTGTTTTTTTTAAAGCCTCCTCCCTGTAATTGAGACACAGAGCTTTAAGTGACTAGTTCAAGGTCACGCAGCAGGTCAGTAGCAGAGCTGGGACTCGACTTCTCTCCCTGACTCCCAGTCCTGCTCTACACCTACTAGCCAACAATGGCCCCTATCCCCCGGCATCCCCACTCGCCCCCAACTACCCAGCCCATCATTAGGGATTGAACTGGTAGCACATTGAGTTCCATACGCCATAGGAAATTCTCTTCCGTGACATTTAAGGTTCTCGATCAGTCTTCTCCAGTGTACCTTTGGGAACTTCTAATTCCCCACACACAGGCTTGAGATGCAAGCCCAGGCATTGCAAGACTTCCGTATACTCCTGGAAATCGACGGATTCAAGATTACCAAGCTTTCTCCATCCCTCCCACACACACCTCTGAGTCGGAGATGTCGCTATTTCTGGTTTTCAGGCTGGCCTTTAAATTGCTTGCTTCCTGTGCCTTACCCAGTTGAATGGTTTTCCTTTTTTATGAGCAATCATACGCCGGGGGTGGGGAGGAGGAAACAGTGCATGAAAACGCGCAGCAGACGATTAGCGGATGCAAATACTAGAGCCTTCGTGCCACTGTCACAGCAGGCAAGTTCTCCCTGCTAAGGACTAATGCTTCATTTAGACACGTTCACCTGGATAGGTTTAGAAATAATTCGTTAGGGTTAGCGTGGAAGCAGGCGTGATCTCCAGATGCTGGGTCTTCTTGACTAAAGCAAACGGACACACCAGGGTCCAAGTTTGAAGGATAGGTATGATGGAAGAGACAAGCACTGGGAAAGGGGAACTGAGTGATATGCAGGGGGGTAAATGCCGTTTAATACCGGTGTTTCCCCTCACACATCTTTAAACTCGCCATTGAACCAGGTGGCTCAGGGAAGGGAATACGATTTGGCCCTAACAGCTTAAATCGACCCACGTTGGGAACCACCGATGGCTCTCGGTGACTAGCAAGAGGCGATTTGGCGGGGGTCACTCCTGTTCCTAGTAAGAAGGCAGGGCATCATGGACATAAAGGTGCTGTTGAAACCTGCCCCCTCGCTGGCAGCCTGAGGAGAGAGGTGGAGAAACACGGAATGGGCTGTGGAGAACAAGTTGCCATGTTACTTGGCCAAACTGGCACCTCAAAAACGTAAAGGAAGAGAACAAATTGCCCCTGGCCAAGTTTTCCTTCTCCTTCAGGGCGGTCAACGTGGCACTTCTTGAAGCTACGAGTGCAGGTGCTGAGTCCTGTGGGGGTGTTATTCCTGTGTTACAAGTATGAACCCCTAGATACGGAGGCCCCTTGACAGACCCCATTGCTCTGTTAGGGAAAGGAGGGACTATAGGGTCTCTCGACCTGACCTCATTCACCAGAACTCCCCTCGCTCTTGCAGACACCAGAGCCCGTGTGAAGGTACACCAGGCCACCTACCTTCTGCGAGCCGTGCTGAATAGCCGTGATGTACACGGGATCCACCAGTGGCTTGGGTCGCTTTGCCGACTCCTCGATGATGCCCTGCCATTGCCTCGGCAGCCCGGTGAACTTCTGCTCTTGTTGGTCATACCCAGTGTGGACCCGGTGCTCGAAGTTTGAGGGAGCAGAGATCTCAACGCGTTTCTTCTTCTTGCTGAACATGGTGACGTTGGCTACAAGACCTGAGAGGGGAATGAAAAATCAACGTCAAGGAGGAAGGGGAGGATGTACCATCGTGGAACTGCCTGAGAATCATGGGAGGCTACAAAAATCAAGCTCTTTTATAGAATAGGTGACGACTCTATAGTAGAATACTCAAGTCACCCATCAGGGACCACGTGGCAAGCTAAATACAGTCAGACAGGATTTAGAATTCGGTCACCCCATAGTACCTCGATACCATTTTACCAACTCCCTTTCCAGACGGGGATGCTCTTCTACAACAGACCAGAGATGGTGATTTGCACGTCTCTCACATCCTCCGTCAGAACATCACAAAGCATTTGAGTATTAAGCCTCAAAAGGCTATTAAATACTATCCCCAGAGCAGCAAACTGAGGCACCCAGAGACCTGAACTGACACGCCCAAGTTTACAGAGGTCAGTGGCAGACCTGGGACAACAACCCAGATCTCCCGACTCCCACTGCCCCAGTTATGTATGGACAAACTAGACGGGGGAGGAGGGAGTTTGTTTGGGTTTTTTTATATAGGCTAACCTGATTTTTAGTGCTTGGGAAAGGAGTTTGATTGACAGTCCTAAGCAGTAAGTTATTATAACTTGGCCACCCAATCAGGTAGAGAATGGATTTAGGTCATTGCCCCACCATATTCTGGGATGGGGTACCCTTGTGAGGTATAAGACAGCTCAGTCGTGAAGGCCCATTCAATTCTTGGCCTCTGCTGAGGTGGCCAACAAGGGGTGGCCAGTTTGCACCAGCTATGGGGGAGGTTTGAGATGGGGATGCATGTCCACTACGAACTGGGCGGAGACTCACCAACTCACTTCACACAGGTCCAAGTGTCCTCAGATAGGAAACAACTTTTAGTCACTACAGTCATGGGCTGGATTTGAACTGGTAACTCAGATGCAAGAGGCTCTCGCTCATTACCAATGCCTGGAGCTAGTCACGCATTCGTTTAAAAAGAGCGAGCGGTGGATTTTTAGTCAGTCTCCAATTTTGCTGCTGTATTTGCAACAGTCTAGCTGCCGAACTACCCCAGAACGGATCCATGGGCACACATTTCCAGAAGTTATTTAGCTATTTTGGGTGCCCACCTTGAGATACGGCCCGAATTTGAGGGGGCAGGAGCTAAGCGCTCCTTTAAATCAGGTTCCTTTAAAGGAGTCCCCCAACTTGGGCACCCAAAAATCAGTCACTTTTGAAAGCGTAAGGCATAGAAGTTTCCTTAGATTGTAAATTCTTTGGGGCAAGAAGTGGCTGTGTTGTGCTCGGTGCTGTACAAACACAAGGGAGCAAACAAAACAACCCTTGGCATGGGAGAGGAGTAAGTTTCCAGGCACAGAGTTCCCCCTGCTAGACAGATCTATAAATCTGGTTTGCACAAGTGTCTGAGACAATTATGGGATTGGTCCTCATGCTCCTTCCGCGGCTTGGAGGAAATATCTAATTGGACTCCACTCCGCCTAATAAGTCAGAATATCTGGGACAAACCAGCTAAAATTCTCCCACGTGGCTCCTGGCCTTAGAGACAGTCCCATCTCCCTTCCCTATACACCCTTACCCAAAACATTCAATGTCTCAGAGCTCACATGGAGACAGGAAACAAACAGCCAGGACCTCATCCCCACAGCACCTGGTCAGCCAGCTAGAAGAAATGGAGAAGAACCCCACCCACTGAGCCACCACAGCCATGCGGTGCAGATGGCACGTATGTCATGGCAGATGGGAGCAGCGTGGCCCGAGCATGCTCCTGCTTCATGAATGAGACATCTCAGCAGCCCGAAGGGTTCTGCTCTGACGGAGATGCCTGCTGCGTGCACGAGACAGATGAATGGGAAATGCCCAGGAGAAATCCAACCCTTCTGTGCTACGTCTGTCCTGCCAAAGCTCAGAAAAAGAGAGAGATTTACGAGACAGAGCAGCACACGTTTCTGATCCCCACACAGGCAGGTAAGGCAGCATTGATGCCAAAGACAGGATGCAACGAAGCCAATCCTCACCAGAGACAGTCGCATTTAAGGTCCCTCCATTTGCCTGATCCCACAGTCAAGATGATGCAGCCACATGACAACTGCTACACAGCCAAAGCAACATGGAGCTTTTCGGGACTCCTGGCCGCTCACTTGTACCGCTGTACCAGCTCATATTGAAGGAACAGTGCGAAATCTCTCACCTCGATCCTGTCCCTACCACCTCTTCCACCTTTGGGATTTCTCATATGCCATTCCTGGTCAGAACAATATTCCTGCCCGTGTGTCTTTCCACCTTCAAACCCTCTCACTTTCCGATGGCCTTTCCCCAGATGACCTCACCTCTACAGCCACCTGCTTCTCTTTCTTGTCCTGGGTGCCAGTTAGCATCATCTTCGTTAGTTTCCCCTCAAACTCTCTCACTTCCTTCCTATGTCAGCCTAATTTGGAGGCAGATCCTGGAAACCCCCTCTCACGTGTCGTTTTTACAGGCTCACTCTCTCGGGGGAGGGAGCATATCTATTTCTGTTAAGTACCACACACACACACACACTTCTGGCACCAATCAGAACAGCTGTGCAGACATTTAAAGGTCACCTCGACACACTGAACCTCCACCTCAATTGTTCTGCTTTGCTGACATGTCACCATATCATCATTCCTTCCTCCTGGGTTGGTTGGTTGGTTGAACCAGCTCTCCACTTAAGGCTCAGCACAGCTGAAGACAATCTCTCTTCCTGTTTCCTCCACGCTGCCAGTACCAGCTGCCCGAGAGACCACACCAAACCAGTTTTGATTCAGGAGTGGTTCTAAACAAGTAAGAAGTTTCTGGGAGGCAAATGAGCACAGACACCATCTAGGACAGGGGAGGAGCCAATAACTAACTTGTTTTGTCTGGTACACTGAACACACACAGCACACAAATCACGGACAGCGATCATTTTCCCCAGCCACCCACTGGGGAGAGAGACGTCACCTAACCCAGGAGAGGACGGATGGCTGTCTGGGTTACTACGGGGCTGGGACAGCACCTTTGCGAATCACACGTCCACAATGTCCAGCACCGTTGAGCCTCTTGGTGCTACTGCGACACAGAAACACCATCTCCCAGGTCTACGCTCTACTCCTGCTGCTTACCGTGGGATCGTCCAGGTGGGTCTAAATCAGAGGTTCTCAACCTTTCCAGACTGGACCCCTTCAGGAATCGGGTTTGGCTCGTGTACCCCAACTTTCACCTCACTTAAAAACGACTTGCTTACAAAATCAGACGTCCTAACACAAAAGTGTCACAGCCCCACTGTTACTGACAAATGGCCGACTCTCTTGTTTTTAATCAGGTCATTATAACAGATTGGAATATAAATATTGTACTGACATTTCAGTGTCTAGCCTATAGAGCAGAATAAACAAGTCATGGTCTATGAAATTTTAGTGTGCACTGACTTCACTAGGGCTTTTTATGTAGCCTGTAGTAAAGCCAGGCAAATATCTAGATGAGTTGATGTACCCCCAGAAGACCGCTGCCCACCCCCAGGGGTACGTGTATCCCCGGTTGAGAACCGCTGATCTAAATAAAGGGCTTGTGCCCTTTTCATGCTTCTATATGAGGTACAAAGGTAGCCTGATGGCTTGTTTTTATATCCCCATCCATAATAAATAAATTAATTAATTAATGGAGATATCCCATCTCCTAGAACTGGAAGGGACCTTGAAAGGACATCGAGTCTAGCTCCCTGCCTTCACTCGCAGGACCAAGTACTGATTTTGCCCCATATCCCTAAGTGGCCCCCTCAAGGATTGAACTCACAACCCTGGGTTTAGCAGGCCGATGCTCAAACCACTGAGCTATCCGCCCCCCGCCGCCGCCGCCCCCAATATCTATGTTGACCTCATCGTGGGCCCACAATCTTCCCAGTTTATCCTCACAATGCCCCCCTTGTGAGGTAGGATAGTGCTATCATCAGATGGGAAACTGAGGCAGAGAGAGACTTGGGGCTTGTCTGTTAGCTCGCAGCAAGCTGCAATGTAAATCTACCCCGTGCTGGCCTGCCACGCATTGAGTGTTTGCGCAGACCCTGCTGCCGGGCACTGGGAGTTCTGTGATGTGCTTTGATCTACCCCGCCTTGGAGTGAGAGCAGGTCTCCCTAGCTAACAGCCTCCCCAACACATTAGAAATCCAGGTCCCGTCTATCCAAAATTTCAACCCCTTCGCAGGCCAGCTTTAAAGAAGTCACTTCGCCTCTCCTTTCTTTGCTTAGCCCTCTGCAGAATAGGGACAATTCTCCTCTATGTTGGACATCTTAGGAGGCCAAAGTCTTTCCTGTTTGTAAGGAACTTTGAGCCCCCAAATGGGAAGTGCTAGAGATGGGCGATGTGCTGCTGTCAGAGGATTCTGATGTATGGTCACTCAGGTGGTGCACTGGAGTGACAATTACATCAAGACCGTTCTAATTACAGCTACATTGGGGGGAGGGATAGCTCAGTGGTTTGAGCATCAGCCTGCTAAACCCAGTGTTGTGAGTTCAATCCTTGAGGGGGCCATTTAGGGATCTGGGGCAAAAATCTGTGAAGGCAGGGGACTGGACTCGATGACCTTTCATGGTCCCTTCCAGCTCTATGAGAGGTATATCTCCACATAATAATAATCTGCCTCCAATACTAGATGCTATTTGCCTTGTTCCTGCAAGTCTCAAGCAGCCCCGAATCAACTGGGAAATAAAACCTAAACCCAACAGTAGTTGAAAACAGCCAGGGCCATCCCAGAGAGCAGCTCGCTCGCCCTCTCTCTCACACACACGATGCAACCTGGGCACCTAGAAAACTCAACTCAGCTCTGATACGGTAGGATGAAAAATCTGGCCCGTCTCACATCATGATTTTCTGCTTAAAAATAAGCATTTTTAATTAATGGGAACCAGCCACCATATGCAGCTCCAGTGTCTAATGTAAAACTAATTAATGTACCAAAGGAAAAAAAAAAAAGTCATTTATTTTTACCTAATTAAGCTAGCTCCAGTGAATGGTGCTG